TCAGCCTCCCGAGTAGCTGGGACTACAGGCATGCGCCACCATGCCCGGCTAATTTTTTCTATGTATTTTTAGTTGTCCGATTAATTTCTTTGTATTTTTAGTAGAGACGGGGTCTCGCTCTTGCTCAGGCTTGTTTCGAACTCCTGAGCTCAAACAATCCGCCCGCCTCGGCCTCCCAGACAGCTAGGATTACAGGCGTGAGCCACCGCGCCCGGCCCCTAATTTTTCTTTTTTTGTAGAGACAGAGTTTTGCTATATTGCCCAGGCTGGTTTCGAACTCCCAGCCTCAAGTGATCCCACCAACCTTGGCCTCCCAAAGTGCTGGGATTACAGGTGTGAGCCACCGTGCCTGGCCTGAACGGTCTATTCTAAAAGCAGCAACAAGAGGACTCCATTAAATGTGTAAGTCACATGAGTGACCCGGGCCTGCCCACCCCTGTGGCTGCCTTCCTGTCACTCCATCCTCTCTGCAGTGCTCCTACCGGGCTCCTGGCTTGTTCCCACTGCAGGGCCTTTGCTCTCGCTGTTCGGCTGGGACCTCGCTCCCTCGGCTCTCGGCCTGGCTGGCTCCCCTGCTCCATCCAGGTCTCTGCTCAAATGTCCCCTCCTCAAAGGAGCCCTCTGTGGAAGGCAGCTTCTAAGATGTCCCCTGGGATCCCACACCCTTGAATTGTGCCCTCCCCTTGAGTGGGTGGCACCTAGTGACTTGCCTCTCGCCAGTGGATTGTGGCAAAAACAATGGCATGTCGCTGTCATTACTGGCTTACAGAAAGACAGAGGCTTCGGGCTGGCTGGCTGAGGGACGCCAGCTGCCGTGTTGTGACTTGCCCTACGCAGAGGCCCGTGTGGCCAGGAACCGAGGGAGGCCCCCAGGCTGCAGCTGACACCACAGCCTCGGCCGACACCTCGACTGCAGCCTGTGAGCAACCCCGAGACCGGAGACCCAGCTGAGCTGCACCCAGATTCCTGATCCACAGAAAAAGTGAGACAGTAAACATCTGTATTTTAAGCTGCTAAGTTTGGGTGCGTTATTTGTTACAAGCCATAGATGACACCCCTCCCCCATTGCTTTCTGCCCCCTTGCCCAGCGTTATTTTTCTTTACCACACTAATTGCCACACTGGTTTGTGGAAGGTGACTGGGTGACCGCCACGAGGCCATCGTTGTGCATCTTACTGGGCTCAGCATCCCCAGCGCCCAGCCCGGTGCCTGGCCCCACGCAGGGGTTGCGCACTGAATGAGTGAATGGGTGAGGAGACGCAGCACCCTCAGAGGGACGAGGCCATGGCTCAGAAAAGCCAGACGTGGGGGCTGAGGACAGGGGAGGCTGGCTCACCCCAGTCCCAGCTGCCCCAGGGGTCACCGCTGGCTCTGAGCAGAAACCGGGGACCCTGGTCTCCCACCTCTGCAGAACGATGCTGCCCCCACCCTGGGACCTTGGTCCTGGTGGCCACAGCTCAGGCTTCAGGCTCTCACGGTCTCCACTTCTCCCCGGCCATAAGGTGTGGGCTGTCCTGCGGCCTCTGGACTGCAGGCCCATTTTTCTTCATTTGGTCAGGACATTTGCTAAATGCCTTGTTTAGGGTGATCTAACTTTTATACCCTTGCCAGACTTTTCACAAAAATAATTTGGTAAGAATCCCATTCCAGCCATATGTCCCAATTTTTGTTTGGAAAACGGTCCCTGTGCCCATAAAAAGGAAAGGAGTCCAGTCCCCTCCTGGCCCTGTCCCCAATGGGTCGCAGGCCGTGCCAGGGGCTGAGAGGCTGGAGCACCTTCCAGCAAAAACACAGCCCCAGTTGGAACCCAGAGCCCAATCTGGGTCTGGCAAGGGCTGGCCCCATGCCCATCTAAGTGAGCCATTTCCTCCCAGACGGGCAAGTTTCCTGCCCGGAGGGAACGGAGCACATTCCCAGGCGGGGTGGGCTGGGTCCTGTCTTGGGGGAGGGGCTTCCACGGGCATTTCCCCCACCGCAGCCACCACAGCTACCACGCCCCGGGATGAGAGGCCTGTCCTGGTGGTAGGGCCCTGAGCAGGGTTCAGAGGTTGGGCTTGAACTGTCCGAGGGGTGGCTATTCCTGGGGGATGACCCGAAACCACCCCGCCCAGCCTTGGATCCAGCCTGCCCCATGTCCCAGCTGTGCTCCGGGACGGGGCTGGAGAGTCCCAGGCCAGCCCCTGCCTGCTCCCAAGCGGCAGCCCTTGGGCAACCGTGGTGGCCTTTGCTGAGAGGCAAGAACTCGTCAGAGCCTGGAAGTGCCTTCTGCAGGCCTCACCTCCTCCTGATGCCTGCCCTGCCTGCCCCCGACAGCCCCCCACAGCCCCCACTCTCCAACCCCAAGAAGCCCATGGGTGGGGCGGCTCCTTTGCCCTGTGGGGCCTCTCCTGGGGAAGGGCCCTGAGCTGGGGCCCTCGGTCCCAATGGAACCCAGTGCCCTGCGGGCTGGGCGCCTGGGCTAGGAGACCATGGCCATGCTGGAGCTCAGCTACCTTGGAGAAAAGGTGGCGGAACCACATCCCAGAGCCCGCCAGGAATGGACCTGCCATATTTCTCATGTCTGTCACTGGCTGTCAGCTTCCCTGGGCCCGAATCTTCAACAAGAAGAGGGCAGCGGGGAGCACGCAAAGCACTTGAGCTCTGGGGGCCGGGCTGCCTGGATTCAAATCCTGGCTTGGCCACTCACTACCTGTGCACCCTTGAGCAAGTTACTTAACCTCTCTGAGCCTGTTTCTGAATCTGTACAAAGGGATAACAGTACTTGCTTCTTGGGGCTGATGTCTAAATGAAATTATAAAAGTACCCAGCACATGCATGGTAAGCACCCAACACATGGTAGTGATTCTTCTGACAGGCTCAGAGAGGGCAGTGGGTTGTCCAAAGTCATACAGAGGGTAGACAGAGGAGCTGGCACCGGCCCTTTGTGCTCTCTGAGCTGGGCCCTGTAGGGGATACAGGGCTGAACAGGGCTGAGATGGGAAGGACCCTCGTGGTCTCTGGGGACCCAAGACCACCGACAGAGGCTTCCTTCAGCTCTTTCTCAGCCTGGGATGGGACAGGACATGGCACCGTCCACCCGAGACTGCAAGTGGGTGCTGGACCATGTGTCCCTCCCACCCCATACCCCTCACCTCTCAGCCACCCCTCCCCATTCCACCCGAACTCCTTCCCCAGTCCGCAGGGAGCCCTGTCCCCAGGGAGCCCTGTCTCCAGGGTACCCTGCCCAGGCCAGCCTGAGGCACATATCTCAGGACCCTGTCAGAAGAGCTGTATGGCCTCAGAAAGGCCTCTGTCCCTCTCTGTGTGTGTCCGTGATTGTAAGCCCAGGTTGAGAAAATCACCACCTTTATTGTTTATGGGGAGGGCGGGGGAGGCCGGTACAGAGGGTGCAACTCCCCCAGCCCCCAACCCCGCCCAGGAAGGCAGCTCTGAGGGGCTGTGTCCGTTGCCCACCCTGAGAAAAAGAGGGATTAAGCCAGGGGCCCCGAGTTGCCCCTCTCTCCAAGGGCCCCATCCAAAAACTCTGCCCTCCCCGCAGGGGTCCCCAGTGCCCACCGAGGGACCAGCCCTGCCACTCCACCTCCAGGCAGCGTCCTGGGGTCAAAGCCCGGCAGGTCAGCCCGTGTGGGCCTGAGACAGACTCTGAGTCCTCCCTCGGGCAGGTCAGGAGGGGGCCGACCTCCGGGGCCGGGCGGGTGTGGAGCGCAGGGGCTGGCTTGGCGTGGACACTGCAGGCCTCTGCGATGGAAGGTCCTGCGGGAAGGCGGGGAGGGAAGGATGGAGGGAGGACACCACCATTTTACCCTTCCCTTGGGGGCCTCAGGCTCCAGTGACCCGGGACCTTCCTCGCACTTGGGCTCTGGGGTGCAGGTTGGAGGGTCATGGACAGGGAGGGGAAGCCTCAACCTCCCCACTGCTAGGGACCTGGAGGACAGCCCTGGCCTGGCCACAGAGGGGGCCCAGAGGGGATTCCAGCTCCCTCTGTCCCCACCCCAGGAGAGGTCACCCAGCTCCTCTTAAACGTGGGCCTCTCGAGGCTCCGGGGCTGTTTGGAACAGGGCTGCGGTGTCGGGGACGCATGGGCTGGGGGTGCCCACCTGTATGTGGCAAAGGTCGAGCAGGGCTCGGGCGCCCACCAGACACCAGAGCTCGCCCAGGAGGGAGACGAGGATGCCCAGGAGGTCCAGCCAGCGGCCCACAGTCAGCAGCAGCACGAACAGGCCGCCCATGCGCACCAGCACCGTCTGCACCTGGCCCTGCATGCCCGGGTGCTGCCGCTGCTCCTCTAGGGCACACGGGCGCCTGTCACCACCCGCCCCCGCATCCTGGGTCTGGACCCTCCAGTTCCCAGACACCCCCTCCCCAGAGCGAGCCTTCCCCCTCTCTGAGCACCCGCAGGGCGCCCGGCGCTCCTGCCTCCCAGGGCTCTCCGCCCACCCCGCTAGTCTCCTGCTGGCCCAGGACAGAGCCCCGTCCGCCTCCTCTCTTCCCGCACACCCGTGTGAGCCGTCAGTACTGCCTGTGGACTCTTTCTGCAAGCACGTCCCCATCCGAGCACCCCTGGCCGCTCCCACGGCCCCCCTGGTCCCAGCCCCTTCCCCTCTCGCAGCAGCCCCCTCGCTGGCTCCCGGCTTCTGTTCTGGGCAGTCCGGTGCCTGCTGACCAGCTAAGGTGGCCTTCATTCCTCTGCTTATAACCCTCCCAGGACTTCCCACTGCATTTAGAGTAAAATCCAGACCCTCGCCTTGCCTTAGGAGACGCTGCCGGATCTGTGCCCACTCCCCAGCCTCCCGTGGTCTCTGGTCACTGCCCCCAGCCAGCCCGGCCTTTTCGAAAAGTCCAGCATGCCGGGCTCATGCCCACCTCAGGGCCTTTGCACTCGCTGTTCTCTCTGCCTGGACCACCCTGTCTCGCCCTGTTGCTGCCACCCCATCCCCACCCTGTAGCCAGGCGGCTCCTCCTAGAGCCCGGTCCGACCAGGTCACTGTCCCTCACTTGAAACCCTGCAGTGGCCTCTCACCGGACTGTCCGGCCTGGCTGGCGAGGCCCTCCAGCGGGCCCCTGCAAGGCTGGCCAGCCTCGTCCCTTCCCTGTGCCCTCAGGGTGACAGCCACACTGGACTTTGTCAATTATTTGACACTGCCATGCCCTCGCCCAGCTCTGGGCGTTGGCACGTGTGGTCCTGTCTGCCCAGGGTCCCCTTCCCCACCTCTGCTCCCGCAGGAGCTCCTGCCTGTCCTTCAAGGCCCAGCCCCAACGCCAGCTCCTGGGGACTCCCTCTGCCCCCTGCCCCTTCTCTGAGCTGCACCCCATACGGTCTCCGCCCTGACCGGGCGCCCTGGGGTGGGTGGGGTCTGATGGCTGTCGCCTCCCCAGAGCCTGGCTGGCAGTGGGCCACGAATGCTGACTGGATGGACGCAGGCCCCTGGCCCTCACCCTGCATGTAGATGACCAGCAGCGTGTAGCAGATGGTGAGCGGCGTCCAGAAGCGCACGGCCTCCGAGGTGGTCAGGAAGTCCTGGTTGATGAGGGCCACAGCCGCCATGTCGCCCACAGCAAAGGCCACGGCCAGGGCGCGGCCCAGAAGCCGGGGGAGGTCGTAAGCGTTGGCCAGCAGGCCCAGGCAGACCCCACAGTAGTGCTGGCTGCTGTGCAGCTCGTAGAGGCGGCAGACGTGGCACTGGAGGCGCTGGGCCCACGAGCCGAGCAGCGCGGCCAGCCCGAGGCTCAGCAGCAGGTTCAGCGTGCGGTGAGGGGCACCCTCCTGCAGGAAGCTCAGGCCGCAGGCCAGCCCGCAGCCCAGCGAGTACTGGCACAGCAGGTAGAGCTGCAGCCGCTCCGTGTCCCGGGAGCCCTGGGGGGCGGCAGCAGAGGGACAGCAATGGGGGCTGCTCCACCCATAGGGGGCTGGAGCCTGAGGGACCTTGGGGGTTGTTCCCAAAGCGGGCATGTTGGCTTCAGGTTAATCCCTGATGGGATCATTTCTCTCACCTTAATTTTAATCATGTCTTATTACTTGGGGCCCATCTGTCAGCTGAAGAGCCTGGAAGACCTGGGTCCGAAACCTGACTACCCCTTGCTGGTTGTTGACCATAGACAAGCCACCTACTCTCTCTGAGCCTCAGTTTCCCCATCTGTGAAATGGGGACCACAATTTTTACCCGCCATGGTTGTGAGGATTAGATGAGATGGTGCACACGAAGTACCTAGCATAGGCCGTGGCATTTGGGAAGCTTGAGACACAGGAGCTGTAGCTGTTATTTTCTGGGGACTGGGGGTGTGTCCACTGTGAGCGGAGACTTTGCTTTGGCAATCAAAACCTGAGTGACTCACCCACCACCTTCCCTGAGGCCTCACCTTGCCCAGGGACAGCAGTGTGGACACAGCCCGGAGGGAGAACTCAAGTACCACAAGGGCAGCCACCCGGGCCCCCACGATGGTCAGGAACAGGGTCAGCCCCGCCACGTGCACCATCTCCAGCGAGGCCCACTGGGCCTGCAGCCGCTCCTTCTGGGGCCGCCGCTGCGGGTCACTGTAGGGGCAGAGTGGGTGTGCGCAGAGGTGTGGAGCCACCAGCCTCGGCCCCTGGCAGGTCCCTGTGCCCCCAGTCATACTCCCTGGTCCCCTGCCAGCCCTCCCCAAAGAGGTCAGAGTCACAGTGCAGGGCCCAGGGTCGTGGCAAAGGGCTTGGAGTGGGACGGGGAGGTGGGCACTCACTTGGCACAGCCCACGAAGAAGTAGACTTTCAGGAGGCTGTTCAGGACCAAGACTCCGAGGGCCCCGACAAGGCCTGAGGGGGTGGGAGGGCGGTGGCAGGTGCAGGAGGAAGCAGTGTTAGGCGGTGGGGCAGAGGAGGGGATGGGCAAGGTGGCAGGGCAGCGGGAGACCTGCGTGGGTGGGGTGGAGCTGGGAGGGTGGGGCTGAGTGGGAGGGGGAGGCGCTCACCTTGCAGGAGGGAGTCCAGGAGGCTGGAGCCCCACTCGAGGGAGGGGAGCGACAGCAGGTAGAACATGGCAGCCCCGGAGGCAGCCTCGGCTAGGTCTGCACAGACAGATGATGTCACTGGGCAAAGGGCAAAGGTGTCAGCAGAAGGGAAGGAGGGGCCTGGAGGGGGAGGTCAAAGCCTGAACCAGGGGAGGGGAGGAGAGCCAGGGGCCGGAACTCTTCCAGACCCCAGAAATGCAAGCCCAGTTCCCAGCACAGGGGCGCGGGGAGCCAGCTGCTGCCTGGTGCCCCCATTTGGCAGTGTGGGGTGAAGGTGGATGTATCTCTGGGGCTGGTCTCTGATCTCTGTCCCTGCTGAAGTCTGCGTCCACTTTTCTCACCCTCTCTGAGGCCCCAGGCTCCATCCACCCTGCCCCTGCCTTAGGTTTGGGTCCTGTCTTCTCTCAGCCAGAAGTGTGGGCTCTGCTCTCTCAGCCCCAGGTCTGGGGCTCTGTCCCCCGCAGCCAGAGGTCAGGCCCTGCCAGCTCTTTGCGAGGTCTGGTTCCAGCTTCCCGAAGCCTAAGGTCTGGCTCTGGCCTGGTGTGGATTCTCCCGTGGCCCGAGGTTGGGACTCCCGAGCCCCCTCCGCCTCAGCCTGCCCTCCTGCTGTCCCTCCCCGTGTCCACTAGGTGGCAGGCCTCACCGGGTCGGGCGGGGTGGGCTGGCCAGCGAGCTGCCTTTCCGGCCCGTGCCGGCTGAGTCGGAGCAGAGGGAGAAAGAGCAGCCAGCCAAGGGATCAGGGATGGGGATGGGGTCTGAGGCTGGTGGCCGAGGGGAGTCGTTGAAGTAAACAAAATAGAAAACTTTATTGACTTGGAGTGTGCGGCAGGGGTGTGGCAGGGAAGGCAGGCGGGGCAGCTGGAGCCTGGCCAGTTCTGCCCCTTCCAGGGGCCGGGGTCCCCTCTGCAGCGCGGCATGGCGCCGAGCGAGCGTGCCGCGGTGGAGTGTTGTTCGGCCTGGAGAGAGGGCCCAGGGCCCGCTGCCCCCGGCCGCCGGCTCCGCCCTGCCTCACTGGGCAGGTCACTTCCCTTCCCCAGGCCTCGGTCTCCTCCTCGGAACCACGGGCGCCCCAGGGCTCCCCGAAGAGCCGTCAGGATCCTGGGCGGCCCTCAGCAGAAGCCCTGAGAGGAGCTGAATTTTGTCCCCCAAAATTCGTATGTCGAAGTGCTGTCCCCCAGTACCTCAGGATGTGCTGGAGACGGGGTCTTTACAGAGATAGTGAAGTAAAATGAGGCCAGGCGGTGGCCTCGTGACCATCATAGTCCAACATGACTGGTGTCCTTACAAGAAGAGGAGATGGGGACACAGACACACGCAGAGGGACGGCCATGTGAGGACACAGGGAGAAGGCGGCCTCGGGAGGAACCAGCCCCGCGGACATCTTGCTCTCAGGTTTCTGGCCTCCAGAACTGTGAGAACAGATTTCCATTGTTTAAGTCCCCCTGTCTGTGGCACTTTGTGATGGTGGCCTGAGCAAACAACACAGCTGACGACGCCACGGCCTCGCGCCACGCCCCGGTGTCCCCATGGTACCGCGATCCCACGGCCCCGGCGCGGCAGTGCCCTCATCAAGGGCACAGGTCTGGGGAGGGCAGAGCTGAATTCGAGTCCTGGCTCCGCCACTGCAAAGCTGTGTGGCTTTCGTCAAAGCCACGTCACCTCTCTCAGCCTCGGCTTCCTTACGGTAAAAGAGGATTTACCGTCTCGTGCTGCTGTTTGAGGACTAAGCAAGCTGACGCGTGTAAGTCACTCGGCTCATGCCCGCGGCGGCTGTTATACCGAGGAATAAAGCTTGGGATGCAATGGCCCAGTACAGGGAAGGAAGAGAACTTTCGGGAGAACGCAGTGGGTGGTAACTTGGAGTGGATGCTCTGGCCCTGGCTGGGCCATGGGCCATGGGGCCAGCGCTGTGCCCATCCCCCGGGTCCCGTGGCAGGGCCTGGGCCTACGGCCCACTCTGGGGTGGCCAGTCTTGCCAGACAAGTGCCAGGCTGTGTCAGGATGTGGGGTGGGGGTGCTGCCTAGGTGCCCTGGTGCTGGGCCCGCATGGCCAGTTTCCGCAGCTCGTCCCAGAAGAGCATGCTGAGTATGGTGTGGGGGCCCAGGCGCAGGTAGGCCGGGCCCAGACCCTTGTAGAGGGCCAGGGGGCCCTCCTGCCGCCAGATCTTCACCAGGCAGTCGGCGAGGCCCCCGTACAGCTGGCCCTGGGGACAGACATGGGGTGGGAGTCACCACAAAGGCCGTGGGGCCCTGGCTGGCACAACCAGGTGTCCGTGTGTTCAAGGCTTCTGTGGGGACATGGGAAAAGGGACTCACCCCCAGCTGGGCAAATTACAAAAAGGTGACCCTCTAATCTGTGACACTGGAAAAGGGGAGCCTCTTCCTCCCGGCAGCCACAGCCCCGCGCCAGGGGGCTCAGCTTGGCTCATGGCACCCGGGCTGATTTCACCACCAACTCACCCTACGGGTGGTGCCTCTGGTTGGCACATCTGTGAGGCCACAGTGCCAGGAGAAGGCCGTGGGGTCAGGCCTGGATTCCAGTTCTGGTTCCTTCACTTACCAGCTGGGTGACCTCAGGGAAGTCACTTGATCTGAGCGTCAGTTTCCTCGTCAGGAAAAGGACGGTGGTTGTAGGGATGGAGTAAACGCCAGTGTGGAAGTGCTCAGCCCGTGCCTGGGACCAGGTGCTCAGCAAACAAGCCCAGCTGCTGTGTCTGCATGCGTGTCACGTGTCTGTGCGTCTCTGGCTGCTCGAGTGTGTGTTGGGTGTGGTCCCAGCCCCCCGCGTCCCCCCACCCCGCCCCGCGCACCCTGCCAGCTCCATCGACCGGCTGATTGTACAGTCGCGTGCTGGCCACGTCGAAGGGGGTCATGACGGCAACCACGGCTACGCTGCTGATCATGCCTCCAGCCAGTGCCACCAGCCAGCTGTCCTCTGGGAGCCACTGTGAAGAGGGCACAGGCTGCTGAGCCTGCAACTGCCCTCTGTCCACTAGCACGCAGGGGGTGCCAGGGCTGGGGAGAGGGGAACAGATAAGCCCCTCCAGCCATGGCCCCCAGCCCACCACCCCCGGCTCCTTCACAGCTTCAGAGATCACTGCTGACCCCCCACTCCCGCTGGGCCCGAGGGCTTGGGTCACGACTGAGGGCAGAGCCAGGGCCCCACCCGTCGTTGCCACCCCCTGGACCTCCCTGTGTGTAAGGAGGCACAGGTGTCCCCAGCCCCTCACCTGTCGCTCCTGCACCCAGGCCTTGGCTGAGGTGAAGGTGGACAGCTGGGCGGCCGAGCCCACCATGACTCGGGGCACAGCCCCACCCACGCCCCGCCACAGCCCCAGCGGGCCCTGCTGCTGCCAGATGGTCTCCAAGGCACCCAAGACGCTCTGCAGGGAGAGGGCACCAGGTCACTGGGCAGCCCCTGCCCAGCCTGGGAGCCCATCCAGCCCACGCAGCCAGGGCGCTCTGGGGAGTGACGGTCCTCACCTGGTGATGATGCTGGTGCCCCACGGCCATCGCAGCCACCGTCTGGGCCTGCAGCTGCGTTTTCACCTGTGCGAGCAGAGGGGACAGGCAGCTTGGGGACGGAGTCCGGGGGAAGCTGGACAGGCTGTGCGTGTTGAGGGCAGCCCCCTACCCCTGTGCCCTGAAACCCAGAGCTCCGAGATCCCACGCCCGAAGCTTAGAGGGCCTGCATCTCGCTGTGACTTGGAGCAAGTCACTTGATCTCCTCTGGACCTCAGTTCTGTCTGTCACCCTTGAAAAGCTGTTCTGGGGATTGTGGGAGATGGTGACCGTCCAGCACCAGCGCAGGACGGCGAGCTCTGGCTCAACGGCCACTTTCCTTCTTAGCTTACTCAAGTCCTCACAGGAAGGAAAGTGGCCTGGCTAGGATTTGAACCCCTGCCCCTGCCACCCTTTGCCCCTCCCCTAGCTCAGGACCAGTGGGGCAGGGTCCCCAGGGGAGCAAGGATCAGGGAAGGCCCTGGTGCCCTGGGCAAGGGGCAGATTCCAGACCTGGGCTGGGATGTTCTGGGGAGCAGCCCCACCCAGCGGCCCCACCCCGCCAGCTCTACCAGCCCTGGAGCCCACAGAACGCCCTTGGGAGCTGAGACACAGGGTGATGGGGGTTGCAGACCAGGCACTCACCAGGTAAGCCGGGCTCCCCACGAAGGCTCCCAGCGCCCCAGCAACAGCGCCTGCGACCATGGTGCCACCCGGCTGCTGAGTGAGGCCGGCCTGGCACGCCAGGCTGTAGCAGTAGAAGCGGACGCCATTCATGAGGCCCTGGTACAGCAGGCCGGCGGCCAGCCCCTTCTGTAGGCCCCACAGCCCGTCAGCTCTGGCCACGGCAGCAACAGAGGCCACAAATCCCCGGTAGAGCCGTGGGTAGGTGCCCTGGGCCCGCAGCTCCCCCTGCAGCTGCAGCCGCGTCTTCACCACCTCCAGGGGATTGGTGAAGACACAGGCCAGGCAGCAGGCCGAGGCGCCCAGCACCAGGTCCACAGCGGGGGGCACCGTCTCCATGGCCTCTGTGCCAGGGGCTTGCTGAGGCCGGGTCAGGGGCATGGCACGGGCCCTGGGCTGGTGGTGTTTAGGCTGCCTATGTCCCCACAGGGCCCCGGGGCTGGAGCTCCAGGGTGCCTGAGGCCATGTCTAGAGGACAGGGGTCCCAGTCCGATAGGCCTGGGGCTGCCTGGAAGCCCCTGGTCTATCCCGGAGTCCACCTGCTCTGCTCAGCTGCCTGGGTCTGCTGTGTCTGGGACACGCCCCTGCTGGCTCTGACCAATCCCAGCTGCCTCTGTCCCCACACCTCCCGCCTGGGGGCGGGCCTGGATCCTGGGATCTGGGGGAAAGGTCACTAGGGGATGGAGGGAGGATGGGCGTGGGGAGAAGGTGCCAACCAGCCCGGGCACCTCCTCCTGCCCTCCCTCTGGCCTTGGGCACAGGGCTGGTGCCCCTGCCCGGCCTCCGGCTTAGCCTGTCCTGCTCCGGCTCAGAGCCCTGGGCGCAGGGCAAGTGTCTGGGAGGTCCCTAGGCCAGGGTGTAGGGGCAACTCAGCAACTGCCCATTCCCACCCCTGCCACAGCCAGTGTGGCTTCCCCTTTCCAGGCCTCAATCTTCCAATCTGGCTCCACAGTCTACGGTCCCACTCTCCGCAGGAGCAGAGGTGGAGAAGGGCCGATTTGGAATCCCAGGCGCTGCTGTTACATGTGACCCCGGACAAGCCGCTCCTCCCTGGGCTCCAGTCTCCCTCATTGTAAAATGGGGCTATCGACGTCCACTTCAGAAGGTTCTCTGGAGGACTGGAGATGTGCCAAGAGTGTGCCTAGCACCGGGCTTCACCCAATAAAAGGTGGCCGACATCCCCCGCTGCCTCTGGCTCCTGTAACCCATCCCTGCCCCCTGACTTCAGGGCCCCTGGGTAGGTAAGCTATGGAAAATCAGGTGACCTCATGGCTTTAGCACTCAGCACCTCATGGCTTGCCCACTAGAAGGGGGAGCCCCTCCTGGCTGGGGCAGGAGGCTCTGCGGCTCCCTGCTTGAGTGGCCGGAGCAGGAGAGCCAGCCCGCGAGGGAAACACCCTTTGTGTCTGGTCAAGAGGAAACGCCCACCCCGGGCCCTGCTGTCAGATGCCTGTCTGCCCAGGCTGGGACCAGCACCACCCTGCCCACCTTGGCCTCTGCCCCAAGGCAGCTTTCTCCTGCCAGGCCACCCTGAATCACCCAGGTCCCAGTCAAAACCAGAGGCAGAACCGGCCCCCCTCCCGGGACCCCCATTTGCTGCCTCCACACCCACTTCCCTGCCCCAGCCCTTTCAGCCCAGGTGTGAGGCCCTTGGGGCAGCAGTGCTGAGTGGCTTGAGGGCCGTACCCTCTGGCTGGCCCCCAGAGGGGACAGCTCAGCAAGAGGCTGTGAGGACAGCCTGGACTCTCTTGGGTTTGTTCTGAGAGCAGCTGGCACTGCTCTCCTGGGGCTGTGGAGGCTGGAGCACCCTGCCTGGGGCTGGGCAAGCCGCCAGTGGGCAGCAGTGCAGACAGGCCTGGGACTGGAGCTGGCGGCTGCCCCTCCCCTGGCCGCTGCATGAAACAGGTGGGAGGGCAAAGGTCAGGCCAAGGAACTCCCAGGGCCTGAGCTCCTGCAGACTGTGAGCCCACCGCAGGGCTGGCACAGAGCAGGTGATGAGCAAGGCTTGCAGAATGAGGAAGAAGGGCCTAGGGGCGTTGGAGACCTCCCTCCCCCTCCCCTGCTCAAAGAGAGCCAGTGACAAGTCTTGGCAATATAACATGTCTATTTTATTTTAAAAAACAAAACCCAAACCACCTGACCCCATCCTCAGAGGGCTCTTGACAAAGCTCTTGGGAAAGACCTGGCTCCAGCCAAGTAGGGGACACTCAGATGTCAGCCAGACACCAGGCTGGTGGGCGCCGCTCCTCTCCAAGCGCCTCCTGCCTCCCCTCTGCTCCTGGGTGCTGCGGCACTGTGGGCTGGGGGAGAGGCAGGGCAGGGCCCGGGCATGCACAGGCAGCTGCGCGCCGGGATGGAGTTAGGAGGAAACATGCACAGACGCCTGGTGTTCCCGGCACGGCCAGGAGAGTGTTCAAAAACGAACAAGGGTGGCTGGGCACTCAGGGACCCCAGGCAGCCCTGAGCCTCTGTCCTGGCCCTGACCCAGGAGAGGAGGAGGGGCTGCCTTAGATCTAGATTCTTCTCGTCACCATTCTGAAGGGATGGTGCACGCCGGGGCGGGGGCCCAGGGAGGAGGGTGCGTCTGCAGAGCCCACAGGGCTCGGACCCTCTGCCCCAGCGATCTCCAGTCGCTCCCTGCCGGGCAGGATGCCCAGGGGTGCTGGGTACCCTTCTGGATCCCTGGGAGTGAAGACACCCTGTCTTAAGCCGCACTGGTGGTTCTGCCACCTGGGGCAGGAGTGTGCTGTAGCTCCCGAGCAGCACGATGACACGGCCACCATAGTGTGCCTGCTGGCACGCGTGCTCCCTTTCCCGCCCCACCGGGGGTGCCAACCAGCTCCGCCTCAGCACCAGGGGTCCCGGGAGGCTCTGCCGCGGCACAGGCTGTCGCTCCGCTGCCAGGCGCTGTGGATGAGGCTCAGGGCGTCCTCGAATTTCTTCTTGTTGGAGGTTTCCTGGATGGCCTTGTGGGGGAGGTCCACCTGTGTAAGGGGCGTGCAAGCAACGTGTGAGGGCCACAGGCCCCGCACTCCCAGGAGGCCGTCGGGGCTCCCGGGCACCAGCCTGGCTCTGCCTTGGCCCTGCCCTCACGAGCCCCTCCACACCCCTCCCCAGGAACGACTTCCACAGGGGCTTGAGCTGACGACAGGTGGTGCTCCCCGAGCCTCCTCCTTCCTGGGAGGGCCCCAGCTCCGAGGCTGGCCCAAGAAGATGGCCCCGTGCTCTAACCAGTTCTGCCCCAGAGAATCTGTCCTGCCCCAGGCATGGCCTGTGCTCAAAAACCCACTTTGCCCAGGGGCCTAACGAGCGCCCTCCCACACTGTAAGTTCGGAGGGTGAGGAGCGTGTTCTGCCATTCTCGTGCCCTCACCATCTGGGCACAGCTCTAGGCCCACCGTAAGCACTTAATTCATGCTTTTTGACCGGAACTGAGGTCAGGAATTTTGTTTCCTGGGTTCTATTTTCAGCTTTCACCTCAGGCTCCCTAGGAGTCAGGACTTTGTGTCTGTCCCAGAGCTTCTGCTGTCCCCCGGGCCCTACAAGCAGGGCCAGTTCCTGGGAGCAGCTGGGGGGGCTCCTTTCCCCAGGGGCTGGCTCCCACTCCACGGAGTCCCTGTCTGAGCTAGGTACCTGGTAGATGGTTTTCCACCCAGAATTCAGTGCAGACAGGAATCGGTCCAGTTCGGAAGTGCAGCTCAGGTAGATGACCCAGGGTGGGAGTTGCTGCTGGCTGTCCTGGGAGAACTCCTAGGGCGAGCCGGACCGCCAGGTGAGCAGAGCTTTCCTTTTGCAGGGCCTGACGCCATCCCGCCCCAGGCGTGCCCAGCTCACCAAGACACAGTACTCCTTGCCCGGCTCGGTGGTGACAGTGCTGATGTCGGCCAGCTTGGCTGTGCCCAGGGAGCGGAAGAAGCTGGTCTGGCAATCCTCGTGGCAGGTGAAGATGTGGTCATCGGTGAGGACCAGGCAGCAGGGGATGCAGGGGCTGGGAGCCACCCCCTGGGGGATGACCTGGGGGCATCGGCAGGGGGCAGGGGCAAAGCAGGCTGAGTCCTCCAGGGCTGGGCCGCACCAGAGCTCCCCACTCCTGGGGACACAACCAGCCTCTGCCCTCCCTCCAGGAGTCAGGCAGGCTCTGCCTCGTCAGGAGCATAGGTAGGGATGGAGATGACCGTGGGAGTGCTCCAGGCTGCAGGTGGCCCTGAGCTCCAGTGTCCATTCCTGGGCTGCCCCCTGGAGGTCTGTCCTGGTCCTCACAGGTTGCTCTGTGACTGGTGTGGGTTTGGGGATGGGACCCTGGGGATCCTGGTGGGGTCGGGCAGGCGGGTGTGCGGTGGAGCAGGAGAAGCTCACCCCTTTGGACACGGCCTGGCAGAGGTGCTGCATCCAGTCGGCCATCTCGGCCTCACTCTCGGCACTCAGCTCTAGGCAGGGCCGGTCGGCGAGAATGACCTGGAAGGCGTGGGGCCGGTCCGTGGTGTTGGATCTCCGGCAGCCACCGCACTGCTCCCCCCTGGGCCAGAGGACGAGGGTGAAATGGGAGCGAGGAGGCAGGGGCGGTGGGGTGGGAGCCCCTGGGGCTGGCGGACACAGGACCTGCCCCAGTGCTGAGGCCTAGGGATACCAGAAGGCTTACAGAAGAGGTTTCCCCTTTCTAGGTAACACCTCTTATCTCTGAAATTGCCAAGATCCTTCTAGATACCCAAACGTAGCCAGGGGAGGAGTAGTGATCAGTGACTTTCTCAGCACTGGTGCCCATTCATTCAGTCATTCTTCCTCTTAAGGGCCCACTGTTCTTTCCAAGGATACAGGTGTCCATCCCCCTTCAGGCCAGGAGCTTCCCAGGAGGGGCCTGCCTCCCTCTTACATCCGTCCCATTCCAGGCAAGGAGCTCCTTGCTCCCTGCCTCCTCCCCTCCTGTGGGCTCCTGCTGGCCTCACAGTGCGCCAAACCCCAGGGCCCCAGTCCAGGCTGCAGGATGGGGGCTGGGGAGAGGCTAAACTGATGAGAGGGACAGCCGTGGCAAACCAGGGAAAACAAGAGCTCTGGGCCCCAGGCTCAGCCGAGCGTCGACCTTCAGGCAGCACCCCGTCTCCTAGGACACTCACCCCATATTCACCGAGAGCAGAGGGATGACATCCGTGCGGTCAGGGTACTGGTAGAGGATCCCGTTGCTGCGGGGCACAGCACAGCAGGAGTGAGGCCCGTCCCAGGACTGGGGCCAGGCAGAGTCCAGATCCCAGGCCTCCCCTCCCCCCTACAAGCAGTGGGACCCAGCCCAAGTCTGCCTGCGGCACGGTGGCCCCAAGAAGACTGGCTTTACAAAGAAGCCCTAATAACCCAGGGTACGTCTACTCCAAAGCCCTTGTGGAGAAGGGAGGTGGAGGTGTCCTCTCCTTCGGTGACCTGCTGGGGACCCAACCACCCAACCACCTCCAGGGCCTGCGCCCGAGCCATGGAGGTGCGGGGACTCCCACCTGAGTACCACGAAGCAAGTCTTCCAGTGTTCCTTGCCCAGGTAGGACGTGCCCGCCTTGTAATGCAGCATGCCTTCTTTGGTGATGGTGCTCTCGGGGGCAGAGCAGTGGCAGGGGACGGGGCCCAGGGACTCGTCCAGGGGGTCCTCCCAGTGCACAAGCCCGTAGAAGTGCACAGTAACAGCGGATGCCTGGCGGTGGGGGCAGCAGACAAAGCAGGTGAGGTCCCGGCCAGGCAGGTGGCTCACCGATGGCCCGGCACCAGGAATGGCCGTGGAGACAGCAAGGTGTTTTAACCTCAGGACACAGCAAGGAGGGAGGAGGACAGGACCCAGAGTAAGACAGCCCGTCCCAGGTGGGGGATTGGGAAATGCTAATGACACCTACTTGCATCGCTTAACCCTAATACCAAGGCTGGCCATCACACTAGTGTCTCAAGGACTGTGACCCATCTTCCTCTTTGGGTTCTTACCTCACACTTAGATTCCTGGGCCACAAATTTGGCCAGTGCCAGCTTCTCCATAGTGGCATCCGTCAGGATACTGGGGTAGGGTGGTTCCCGACAGCCTTTGATCATGGCTGACTTCAAAGAAGCCAGAAAGAACCTGCGCAGGGAGTGGGGCTGCCGTCAGGCCTGGGAACAGGCCCTCAACCCGACAGGGCTTAGTCCTAGTGCTCCTGGCCTGGGGGAGGGTCACAGAAACTTGAGGGAGGGGCCTGGCTGGAACCCACACTCAGAGCAGCAGGTAGGGCAGCGAGGAGGTGGGAGTCTAAGGTCATCGGACGGCGACTAGGAAAGGCCTGGCTATTCCCAATGCTAAGGGCCTTGGATTTTGACAGTGAGGGAAGACGGACAAGGTGATGGTCGGCAGGACGTGAACGGAGGGGATGTGGACGATGATGCAAGTGCTCGAGGGCACAGCGGCCCAGCAGCGTGGCTCTGTGCCTTCCTTCCTGTCGGACAACTCATGCCAGCCCCTTCCTGTCTTGAGGCCACCTGGCCTGACCACACGAGTCAGTCAGTTGGTGATGGTCCACTTGCCTGCCACTCTGACAGATGACAGGTTTCCCTTCTGTGTCTCCCATGTCCTGCTCCCCACCCCCAGGCCACACCACGCCAATGGCAGTCCTGCTAGCAGGGTGGGGACTGCCACTCACTCAGCCAGGGCCACGTCGGCTGTGTCCAGCAGAAACTGCTTCCTGCGGTTGGTGCACACCAGCTTCACTGTCTGCTGGTCGAGGCCGACCTGCCAGAAACCACACCCCGACATGCACACGGGGCTTGGCAGAGGAGGCAGTGTCGCCAGGCTGAGTGCTGGCTGGGGAGAAGGGAGCACGCCCGGGGGTCGCCTCCACCTAACGCCCCGGAAGCCTGAGTCAGGCAGGACGGTCAGAAATCCGGTGCAGGAAGAGGCAGCCTCAAGCATTGGTTCTTATCCCCAGCGTCACCCACAGAAGCCTCTGTGAGAACCCGAGGGGCCGGTCAGGGGACATGCCTCACTCTGCCTCCCTAAGGGTGGTGGCCCGAGAAGCCCTGTACCTACAGCCGGCCACCAACTGCGGAGCCTGAACTCACCGACACATAGTCAAGTTCATTGTAAGAAACGGCCTCTTCCACCAGGTATGGCTTCTCTGTGGCCCCTGAGAGAGGAGATCCCAAGGCCTATTACCCCGCTGGCCTCTTTCCCTCCCCCTGCCCCATTTTCTAAGGCCTGGCCCCTCTCGGAGAGGACCCTTCTTTGCCCTGCAGTCTGAAACCACGCAGCAGGAGAACGGCACGGGTGCTCGTGTCTCGGGGCCTGGGACTGCTGGCAACACCTTCCTTGGAGTGCCTTCTCATCACTACACGCCAGGCGGCCGAGAGGCACTGGGCAGGGCAGCTGGGGACACGGGGGAGGGCCAGTCTGATCTGCAACCCTCTCTGCCTGGGGCGGCAGGCACCTTTCCGGAGCAGGTAGACACAGCAGTCCGTGAGCAGCACGTACAACAGCTGCAGGTTGCCCTCCATGTGCCCGGTGCTCATCCGGATCATCTGAGGGGCCGAAGTAGACAGAGTCAGCCCCGCAGCGCCTGCCCGCCCAGACTGCGCCTCCCCTCCACACGGGGCGGTGGCCTGCCTGCCTTGCCCCGGCTGTCTCGGGCTCAGTCCTGAGTTCCTGGGACTTACTTTGAACAGCTGCTCTTCATTTTCTCGAAATACGTGGATCATCAGCAAGAGCAGGTGATTGTTGTCCACCCTGTGAGGGCCAAGCATGGGGAGGGCGAGGTGTTGGCTGGGGCTGGGGGCACAGGCCTCGCACCTGCAGAGCAGGTGGTGGTGGCTCCACCGCCCACCCGGAGCCAAAGTTGGGGAGGGCATGTCACACCCCCTGTCCCCCAGGCTAGGTCTCCTGGGACTTGTGCTTAGTTTCTTGGGAGGCCAGAGGCCCATGTCCCCTGCTTCAAGGACTGGGCGAATGTCAATCCAGCCGCCCAGACAGCCTTGCTTACCTGAACTCTGACGAATGGACCATCTCAGAAGGGCTCCCCTGCCCCTCATCCACCCCAGAGTCCTCAGCGCTGCTCAGACACGGGCTGGGCTGGTCTCGCTTGAGCCGGCAAAGAGCCTCCTGGGTCCCGGGCTCCAGCTCGGGCACAGGCCCCTCCCTGACCAGGGACAGCTGGGCCTCTACCTCCTGGGCCTCCAGGTCCTGAGCCTCCCCCCTGGTATCCTCTAGGGGCCCAGGCGTCTGTCCCTCTCCTCCTCCTCCCTCTTCTTCTTGGCCAGTAGCCTCAGGGCTACTAGGAACATGCAGCGGTTGGCCAAGCCCTGCAGGGTCATGGTTGCTGCCACCTGATGTAACAGTGCCTGGACTCTCGATGGTAAAGCGGTAGAAGTCCACTGGGGCTGACAGCCCCTCACTAAAGTCGCAAAATGGCGGCCTCTCCGGGGTAACCCCGGGAGAGCCGGTCCGAAAGGACTGGTCAGGGGGCTCAACGTGGGAACACCAGGTGCTAGGGTCCAGCTGCCCATTGAGCTGGTTGATGACCTTGCTCAGGGGCTGTCCCAGGCGCTCCATGGAGGTGTCCTTCATTTCAGGGATCAGCAAGCCCACGTGGCCGAGCTCAGAGCGCTCGCTGCTCTCAGCCGTGCTGCTCAGGCCCTCTCCCTCCTCCTGGGGGGAAGCAAGGGTGGTGTCTGGCGAGTCCCGCCCAAGGCCTGAGCTGCTGACGAGGCTGTCATCATCCCCCTGCTTGGCACACTTCTGCTGGCCGGAGTTTGGGTGAACTGGACTTGCTTCCTCATCTAATCTGGTCTTCTTCTTCTTGCCGACTTTCTTCTTCTTGGTGACCCTGGGACAGTAATGATGGGGAGAGACTTAGCATCTCAGTACCCCAGTCCTGAGGGAAACCAGGCCGAGTCAAAGAGGCGATCCTGGGAGTGTGACCTCTGAAGGCACAGCCAGTGCTTCTGTGGTCCTGGGCCCCAGGGCAGCCCCATTGCTGGCAGAGGTGGGGCAGGGAGCCGTGGGAGGGAGGACAAGGGAGGCACAGATGACAGCAGCCAGAGGAACCCCTGAGCAGGTCCTATAGGATCGTCCTGATGGAACGACTGAGCTAGCTCTAGGACACAAACACAGGCCATGGCTGGTCAGACGAACGCCCTTCCACTGAGCCCTCCCTGTGTGGACAATGGATGCTGTGCTGACCCCCCTTCTCAGCAGGTATCACCATGGGTGATCACCCAGGAATGTACTCAAACTTTCCCGGGCTCAAACTCCTGGCCCTCCTCTTTGGTTCCAAGTTGGCTGGGGTGGGCCTAGCTAAGTGATCCCAGGTCTGAACTGTGAACACCGCGCTGCCTGGAACCAGCCGGTGGGGTGGGCCTCCTGGCTCCAGTCACCGGGGAGCAAGGCCCTGCCTTTGGGCCGCAAGCCTCCAGGAGGCCTGACACGCGCAGGGCTTCTCCTCCTTCCCAGGGCAGCAACTGGATCACCGCCTGAGCTGAGGAGGCTCTGGCCAACAGTCCCACTTGTCACTCATCTCCTTCTTCCCATCTGTGTCCCTGCCAATGTGACAAAGACACTTTTCCTTCAATGAGCTGGGCTGAACTAGAATTGGTACGAATCTCAGAAATTGAGCATTAACTTCCAAGATCTTCCTTGGGCAGAAGCCCAGTCGGAAGGCGCTTTCTGGTCCTGGACGGACTTGACAAAGGCCCTGGAAGCCTGGACAAGACTCCAGACACCAGCTGTGGCTCCTGCTTGTGCCACCTGCCTCCAGGGCTTGGGCCTTGGCAAGAGACTGAATGTTTGTATCGTCCCCTCACTGCCCCACCAAATTCCTATTTTTTTTTTTTTTTGAGACAGAGTCTCACTCTGTCACCCTGGCTAGAGTGCAGTGGCATCATCGTAGCTCACATCAACCTCAAACTCCTGGGCTCAAGAGACCCTCCTGCCTCAGTTTCCGAGTAGCTGGGACTACAGGCCCATACCACCATGCCTGGCTAATTTTTTCTATTTTTGGTAGAGACGGGGTCTCACTCTTGCTCAGGATGGTCTTGAACTCCTGACCTCAAGTGATCCTCCTGGCTTGGCCTCCCAGAGAGCTAGGATTACAGGCGGGAGCCACTGTGCCTGGCCCAAATTCCTATGTTGAAATCCTAACCTCAACGTGGTATCAGGAGGTGGGGCCTTTGGGAGGTGACTAGGTCATCAAGGTGCCCTCGTGAATGGGGTAAGTGCCCTTACGACAGGGACCCCAGAGAGCTCTCTCTGCCATCCACAGCGAGAGACACAGCGAGAGACAGACACCTGTGAATCCAGAAGAGATCCCTCACCAGAACCTGACCGTGCTGGCACCTCGATCTCAGACTTCCAGCCTCCCCACTGAGAAATAATATCTGCTGTTCAAAGTGCCAGTCCATGGCCCTTAGTTACGGCAGCCCGAGCTGACCAGCACAGGCCTGTTCCCCCTGGCCCAAAGAACTCCCTAAAGGTGGGCCGGGTTACTTAATTAGTCTCTAGGAAGATGTCCAACTGCCCTCAGGGGGCATCCCAGTTTACCCTGGACTAAAAAATGATGCCAGGAGTGGATAGGTCAGACCCCATGACCCACCTCCTCTCTGGGCCCCTTCCCGCTGACCTGATGACCTCGAGCTCCGTGCAGGCATCTGGCAGGTCCAGGGCCCGGGACTCCTCCTTCTCCGGAGGCGTGGTGTGCACAGGGGTGGTATCGGAGGAGGAAACGACCTCTGCTTGCTCCTGGTTGAAGGGGTTGTGGCGCTGGGTGGGGCTCCGGGTGGAAGCCTTGCTGCTGGCCAGGTCCGAGGCAGTGGAGCGGGGGCCGCTGACGGTGTCTGTTAGGTCTCCGTCTGGGAGGACAAGGAAGCAGGAGACAGTCCATTAGACACTGTCTGGGGCCCCAGGCCCCGAGAGCAAGTTCCTCCCATGGAAACCTGATCGGGGTGCCCTGTTTAAAGAGGAGAAGCCCCAACCTATCAGCACATGGGATTTGTGCTTCAGGAGCGGCTTGGAGGGACACCATCCCCACCACCGCCGGGAGCCCACCAGAGCGCACAACACTCTGGCCGGTCTGTGTTAAGGGGCCCCAGGTTAAGCGGCCTCCAGGCTCAAGGGATGGTGACCTCAGTGTGGCTGGGAGCCACAGAGAGGAGACAGTTGCACACCTCTGGGGTTAACCTCAGAGCCCTCCTGTCAGGACCCTCCAGGGGCACCCAGCAGCTCCCTAGCCCCACGCCCCACTCGCAGGACAGAGAGGTGCCGACTCTCTGAGGGGTCCCCGCGGAGGCAAAGTGGAACACAAAGGAAGAGAGAGGAGCAGGGGAGAGAAAGTGAGCAGTGCAGACTAGGGCGGGGCTGAGAGGACAGGAGGCGGAGCCTGAGGGGTGAGGACCACAGGTAGGGGCAGAAAGAAGGGCAGAGAGAGGAGATGACAGAGCAGGGAACAAGAACAAGGGGCAAGGGGCAAAGACAGGTGCGGCCAGTGGCTGTCCCCACAGAGGCTGCTCTCCCAGCATCCCCCAGGCCATGTAAGGGTGGAGCTGAGAACTCCGGACTGACTTGTCCTGAGTCACACCCTCCCCACAGCGCCACCTGGGGAGAAGGTGAGGGCACTGCCGCCCCTCCAGAGAAAAGTTGGTTTAATGCCCGCTCCCGCCCACCTATCCATCCCAGGCTAAGACCGGGCAGGGAGGGGAGGGAGCACTGGCATGGGAGCACACAGGCCATTCATCCGGTGGCAGGCGGGAGCTGCCCAAGCAGAGAACTGAGGCCAGCTGGTCACACCTCCTGGTGAGGGTTAATGGCGAGGGACACAGGCTGGTCATGCTCCACTTGCTGGCCTATGCCTGTCTTGCTGGCCATTATCTGCCCAGAGGACAGGAGGCACACATGCTCCCCACAGCCCGCTGGGAGGGCCCAACCTGCCGTCAGCGTCTCAGTGGATCTTGGAAACTGCGGGCAGCTGTCTGCTGACGCAGCACATTGTCTGTGCTGTTAAAAAGCACACTGTCTTTTAACATAAGGGCAAAGAAGGGGCCAAAGCTATTACCAGCTCTGCCAGAAAAACACTAGCAGCACCCGAGACCTGGGGCCCCAGAGCTGAGTTCTCAGATGCAGAAAACCATGTCTTTTGGCCCGAACAGGGCTCCCACAAAGCCCACGCGTTCTTGTTCCAGCCCCTGTGGTGCTTTGCACATACGCAGCCGCTCCCGGAGGGGTCCCGGGAGGCGAGTGAGCCGACCCTGGATGTGGCAGGGGTCAAGGCTGGGATACCCACCAGTCCTGTAAACAAGCCAGAGACCATGGAAAGGCCACCCCAAATCCCGGCCCCAGGGCCCAGAGTCTGGAACTGCCCCTAGTCCCGCTTCCCTCCAGGTCCAAGCAGAACACAGAGCCTCCCCAGGTGAGCTGCCAGAGCGTGCTCAGGGATTCTTCAGTGCTCAAGGAACTTAGGAAAGCAGGAAGTCACTGCTGGGGCAAACCTCACCCTGCCCCGGGGCCCAGCCTGGCCCGCAAGCAGTGTGACCAGGCTGTTAGTTCTCAGGCCCTGGGGAGCTCTGAAGGGCTGCAGAGGAACGTCAGGCCCTGCTTGACAAGTGACTGCAACAGGCATGTCAGGAAGGGGTTAGTTGTTAGAATCAGAGGGGCAAACAACCACTGCCCAGCACGTGTGCTGCAAGAGGAGGAGCTGAGAGGAAAATGATGTTAGGATGGAATTCTGGATTTCAGGCTAATTTAACATGGGACTCTTCAATGCTACTCTCTTGGCCAAGTGACATAATTAATTTTTCCCAATGCTATATCTTATTTCCCACAAAGGGAAACTATTTCATAGTCCTGTTACATGGGAAAAAATCACCATCATCCATTCCTCAGAGATCGTGTCTCTAACAACACGGGGAGAGCCCTGCTCCTCATCCTCTGGGTGACGCAGTTCTCACCTCCCCGTTCAGGCACCCCCACCCCGGCTGGACGTGGTCCACAGGGCAGGAGGCTCTTTACTAAAGGGGATCTGGTGTGGCCTCGGATTCAGGGGAAGCAGTCACCTTATCAGAAATACAACCTTTGCTTGGCATAATCACAGCAGCCTGGGGAAGAGCTTTATGAATTATGCAAGCCCAGAAGCAGGTTTCAGGCAGAAAAATGCCCAAGCACTGCTGCCTGGTAGCCAGGGCGGGAGGGCTGACAGATTTTATTCTACCTGCCTTAAAACTTCAAAGAGATTCTCCCTGCAGGAAGTTTCAGCTGTGCCTGGGCAATTCACTCACTTGGACCTCAATATCTTTCCAAAACACCCACGAGGAAGCTGTTAGGAATGGGCTGAAAGAATCCAGCTCTCTGTCTCTCTCTCTGACCCACATCTGACCCAAAGGAGCTTACGATCCGCAAGTTTAAAGGCATCGTTTTCCAGAACAAATCTCGGTTCACTGGCTCAGGCCACTAGCGCCCCACAACTTAGCAGTTCCCTATACACCTTGTATGCATCAACTGGCATCAGAATCAGGAAGGGTGATCCAGTGTCCCCCAAAACACAGTCACTTAGTGACTCCAAAAGGCTACTGCACAAAGGCCGGAGTCCTGCACTGGGAGAAGGGATTCACCTAGGGCTAAAGGTCAAGTTCTTCTATTGCAGAATTCCATCTATTAGAACACCAAACTTGGCTTTATTATGATCATGGACGTTATTATAAATAATAAGGAGCTGATTTTGATACATGCAGCAAGCTTGGCATGGAGACATTGCAAAACAGGAAAAGAGAATAACAGTGGACTCTGTCCCACCTTCCCAGTCTGTGCTGGGTACAGACGGCACTGCTGGAAACACATCTCCAAAATCATAATCTACAAAAATGAGGGACAAAACTGAAGATTAGAAACATAGGCAGTGGAAGGATAGTGAGGGTAGGGGCAACGGGGTAGGAGACATGGGGAGGAAACAGGACAGGAAAAACTTAAACTTTCTACATTTTATCTAACAACCTCAGGGCAATGTACTGGGGCCCTGGCTGCTTCTCAGCTCGGGCACCGGCCCAGCAGCCTCTGACCAGCTGGAAAGACCTCTGGTGGCGATCCCTGTCCAAACCTGGAAGCTGGGGCAGGCACAGAGAGAGCTGGACCCCCTCATGCCTAACCTTGTTGCTAACCCTTGCCTTCCCCTCTGCACCCCTGCAGAGCAATAAGGTCCTGCTCGAGCAGCTCGAGCTGTGCCATCTCCAAATTGCTGAGATGAGGTGGGCCCAAGGGGACACTTCCATCCATGGCTGCTCCTGCAAGGCCCACCCCTCCAACTTCTCCCAGGCAGCCCACGGGCCCCACGGGGGAGACTGGGCCACCATCTGCTTGCACACTGAGCAATGCAGGGCTTGCTAACAGCACGTCGGAAAGCGACCTCCCTTCCCTGGGACGTATGACCCGTGACACAGCAAAAATAAAGAGGAAGGCCGGGCGCGGTGGCTCACGCCTATAATCCTAGCTCTCTGGGAGGCCGAGGCGGGCAGATTGTTTGAGCTCAGGAGTTCGAGACCAGCCTGAGCAAGAGCGAGACCCCGTCTCTA